CTTCTCCCCAAAGCCCAGAAGCTAGGGGTGGCTGGGCCTATGCAGCCCATGCCCGGCCCTTTTTATGTCAGATGCACAGTCCCAGGTTCAGCTTTGGGTGGGAGTTCCTTCCCCAGTACAGAAATGTTAGTTACTTTGTTGATATAGTCATGTTAAAAAGGCTTGAAAAATACTCAACTCAGGAAATTACATAAAAATCTATAAGCATTGAGTGTTTTTTTTATGTGCCCTGAAATATCTAGCTGATTTTGCTTATACTCTGTGCCTTTTTATAAAATCTTCCTTTATAATGCTTTAAAAAATTTTTGAAATCCAAGAATTAGATCATAATCTCCTCTTAGTAAGATATTTGAAAATCATGCCATATTAAACTTTTCTAATTTGTACTGGTTTCTGAGCTTTTTTTCCTTGGTTGTATGTATGTTCGCTATCTCTTCTGCATCTGAACCTGCACCTCCACCCTTTATGCACAACTTAGTACCTACCAGAAAAGCAGGATCACCCTGCAGAGCTGTGTTTGGCATTCTGAGGTTGCGATGGGCATGCTGTAATTCCTCCCCCTCCAGGAGTCACCAGCAAAAGCCAATCCATCTTCAGCTTCCCTATTACATTCCACCAGGCACCCATCTCATCCACAGACCAGCGTATGGCTCATGAGGTTCCATTCTTTTGATATGATGGGTAACTCTATAGTTTGTTGGTATGGTTGGGATAAAGACAGTGAAATGCTTAGGTTTGGAGAACTGGAACATGAGAGTTGGATTCAGAGTACTGGCCTCACATTGCAGTTGGGGACATTCAAGTACACAAAGCAGCCTTTCCTTCCAACTACCGCCCATGAAGAAAGAAGTAAATGCCAGCCCCAAGTCCACATGAAACCCAAGGGTCAGGTGGGTGATGCCAGGGTTGGGTGGTGGAGGGTGGAGCCCAGGCCATGTCTGCAGGAACAAGCTATCAAACCTGCACCCCAAGAATCCCAAGAAAGAGCGCCGGGGAGATGGCTCAGTAGAATAAGCACTTGCCTGGCAAGCACAAGGGCCTGAGTTCAATCCCCAGTTCTGGAGGAAAAAAAAAAATCCCAAGAAAGAATGCCAAAGAATGTTTTATAGTAATTTATTAACTACTACGAGAAGTGAGCCTCCTCACTCAAACTTTCAGGGCTGGGAAGAATGCAGTCAGACAGCAAGTGAGAGAACTTGATGAGGTGGAGTTTGAAGTTTACTTCTGCAGAAGGGCTGGAGCACACTTGGCTATGAGGAATCAGTCACGCAGAGCCCAGGAAGTGGGACTTTTAAGCCCTCACGCATGGGAAGCCACTGTCCTTTAAATTCATTGGCTGAGTTCAAAGGCTACAGTCTGTGGAGGTTGGTGAGTATAAGCAGGGTGTGAGGGGAGATCCAAAGGTTTGCTGAGGGAAAGGAAAGGTAGGAGGGTGTGGGAACAGAAGGCCCACACTGTGGCTAAGCTATCTGTTCCCAGAATTTAGGCCCAGCAGACATTTGCCATCATGTCAGTGTGTTCTGGAAGGGCCACCTGAGGTGGGCCAGCGTCTTGAGATGGAGGCACTCCTGTTTGTGTCCTTGGATAGAAAAGACAAGGTTGTGATTTCTCACAGCTGCAAACAGCCAGACTGAAATGAACCAGGAGACTCCATAGCGTCTTCTTTGCGCACTATGACGCCATCAGCAGGTCCTGGGGAATCCAGCGTTGCCCTCAAATGTGAAGCTAATTCTCTTCCTTGAGCTGCTCCACTCGAAGCCCCAGGCAGAGCGAACGGCGCAAGAGCTTCAGGGACTCTTCAGCCTGTGGAGGCAAAGCAAAAGCAGAAGCCTTCTTTACCACTTTGAGAGGAATTCAAGAAGATAAGGGCTACAAAGGATTGAAACACCTACCAGTTCGTGCCTGAGTTACTTAACTTTATCTGATCCCTTTTAAAAAGGTGAATGTGGTTCGTATTTCATCCTTAAGCTTAAACAAAAATTAGTTTATCCTCTTCCTAATGTATTTTCTCATTCATATGCTCAAAAACAAAACAAAACAACAACTTTCCCTGCTCTACCAGTTTGCTTTCTGCCTCCACTTTATTACCTTAAAAGTAATCAGATTTCATACGACACTTCCTTAGATATCAATGCTCTGTCCCGTAAGGAGCTGGAAAACCATTCCCTAGCCTTGCATCATTCAAATGTAAGAGATTCACAAATTTAAAAACCACAAACGATTATGTTTTCTACTTAGATGAAATAAATGATTTTAAAGGTTCTTCAATTTGGGGTTTCTAAGGTTATTTCTAATCATCTCTTTAACTTCATAACTAGTAGTTTAGACATAATTACAGTTAAATGCACATGCACTGAATAATAAGGTGTATTTTTAACCAGAACTTTCTGCTGAGGAAAGGGATCTCACACTGTGTTGGGAATGCACCATCTGCACAAGGTTCATTTACACGTGAACAAGGGACATGACAAACTCCCGATCAGAGTGTTTGCCTCCTTGCTTATGAGCAGATTCTTGCTGGAAGCACTTCCTTCTCTGTATCAAATTAATTCAAAAAAGACATTCTAGGCTTTGTTTGTTGGGTACCCTTGTAATCCCAGCATTCTGGGAGGCTAAGGCAGGAGGATCACGAGTTAGAGCCCATCCTGAGTAATTTAGACTTTGTAGTTAAATAAAAAAAAATTGAAAAGGCTGAGGATATAGCTCAGTGTGAAGGTCCTGGGTTCCATCTCAAGTAAAAAAAAACAAGCAAAAAACTTTCCCTTTACAGAGAACAACAGCAAAAGCATCCAACCGGGATATGCAGTTGGCATCCCCGATGTCAAGTATCTTGCTGATCCGTCTCGCAATACACAGCAGTCTCTGCAGCCAAGCTGCGGTCTGTGAGGACAGCCCAACAATTCCATCTCCCTGATGCCAGCTTCACTCCCAACCAAACCAGCCACATCAGAACCCTGGGTACCTTGGCCAGCTCATCCTTCAACTTGTTGTACTGCTCCACATCAAAGTGCTGTTGCCAAGACTTCTTGTGGAAGAAATGAAGAAACTGCCTACTTCTAGCTGCGGGGTAAGTACAATTCTAAAGACAGAGAAGAAATCAGTGAGTTTGGAAGAAGAACTTCCCCTGTGGGAAAGCTGCCTGGCAGCACACCAGGCAGGTGGGCAGTGAGTGGGTGGATCTCCTCAGTGGGCAAATGTGTGCCCGCATGACCCCAGCACACAGTGTTCAGAGCTGGGCAAAGAATGATATGACATGCGATGGGAAGTGCAGAGAACAAGGTTGGGGAGGTTTTGCTAAGGATGGCCAGCTGGAGTCATGAAGGTGTGATTGTGCTGTAGGAATTTCATTGTATTTATAAGTGGCAGCAGAGAGGACTAAGTTTGACAAGTTTATCCCCACGGAGGAACTGGATCCCTCCCTGTAAAGGCTGGCTGGAGTTTCTCTGAGTTGTCTCTCACCAGCCTTCAGAGTAACAACCTATTAATGACACGGTTGCAGAAGCCCAGTCAGCAGCAATTAGGCCGGTAACAAGCTCTTGACTTGGGTAAGGAATTCCTGGCAAAGAGGTTCGTCCCTAGCGATCACTCACCTGCCGTGTGACTATGAAGTATGCAAAGAAGACCATGGAGTTGGCGAAGGTGAGGAAGCAGGTGACGGGCTCCATGAGGTCCCAGGAGTACACCCACCAGGTGAGCCAGGCCAGTGCGCCCCCCTGTGCGGACAGCAGGGCCAGCCCAGCCCACAGGAGCCTGCTGGTGCTGGCTTCCGCGTGAGCCTCGATCCTAGCTTTCACCTGGGGGTGGGGGGGGACATCTCAGTCAGTGCAGCCTGTCATCCCAGCCCTCAGGAGGCCAAGGCAGGAGGGTTGCCCGCTGCAAGTTCAAGGCCAACCCTATTTCCAAATGAAATTGAAAAATATCAGTTTATAAGTGCAGCAACTAAAGCGGGGGGTGATAAGGGAGAAGGAAAGGAACTTTGGAGCAGTGCACACCTGCGTTACTCTAAAGAAGGTCAGGTGTATGGAAGAGCAAGTCATGGGGCATGCGTGAGACCCATTCCCACATCAGGTCATGACGAAGCTATTATAAAACTTACATCTGCTCATGGAAAAGAAAAGCCTACTGCACAGGGGCACACAGGGAAGAAGTCATCGTCTGGATGCTGACTACCTGTCCAGGCCCGCCTCCTCAAAGATTCAGCATCACTCTCGGGATTCCTCCCCCCCCCCACCCCCGCCCAGGCCCCCTGGGACCTGTGTTTCTCTGCAGTCACTCTTTAGAGCAAAAGAGGATGAATCTGCGCTGCAGCTACCCAGAGGCAGTGTGGTGCACTAGCAAGGAGAGGCTGCGAGTGAACAGCCGCCCACTGTGCACACAGATCGTAGCCACAGCAATTCAGGGGCTCGAGGCACATCGTACCTAGGAGCGGAAGCTAGAGGGCTCCCTGTGGGCACCGTTTCTGGTTTTACAATGTTAATTCAAGTACACAGCAGTTTCTTATAAAGAAAAACAATTAAAATATGGAAATTCAGAAAAATTAAACAAAGTCCCTTTCTCTGCAATATTCCTGCCTCAACCTCCCCAGAACGGCAGTTACAGTCCTGTGCCACCATAGCTTTCATTTCTATAGGCAAACTTCTAATAGTGATCGCCTCCTAAGGCTGAGTGAGGCAGGAGGCTTGCCTAAGGCCAGCTGAACTACATAGTGAAACCCTGTCTCAACTAACAAAAAAACAAAATTCCTTAGAAACTTTTTTAACTCATATACAAAGATACATATAAACCCTCCAATTTTTCCTAAACAAAAAAAATCCCACAAATCCAATTACAGGCTCGAAGAATAACTTTTTCCTTAGACAAACTCCCCACCTCATCCTAAAAAAGTCAGTCATTTTGTCTCCAGCTCTGATGGCCTGAGATTTCTGTTTGTAGAACTGGGTAGAAGGGGTGGTTAGGGCCAGCCAGGGCTTGGCTCAGATCCCCCCATACCCGGCTTCCATGGCCAGCTCGTTCCTATGGAGAAGAGGGGGGCTCTGGAGATAATGAGCCTGGGGCAGGTGCTCAGGATGCTGCGCCTGAGTCTGATGCATGGGGCCACCGTGAAGCCCTCACCTGCTCCAGGGGCTGCAGCTGGGCCTGCAGGTGGTCGATCCTCACCAGCAAGCGGCGCTCGGTCTCCTTCTGCAGCTCCTCCAGGTACAGGATGGCAAACAGCCTGTGCACCAAGGAGCGCACCTGTTCCATCTCTGTGGTGTACTCTCTGCTGGGTTTCTCTGAGAAAAAAACAAGGGGAATCGAAGGCAGTCACACTCTTCCCTCTATGCACATCTGCTGGCAGTGGTGGTGGTGGTGGTGGTGGTGGTGGTGGTCAAGGTGCAGGCCTGTAATCTCAGCATTTCGGAGGCTGAGGCAGGAGAATCACTGTGAGGTGAAAGCCAGCCCAGGCTACATGGTAAGACCCTGTCTCCAAAAATCCAAAATAACAAAATGTGTAGGAAGAGTCAGAGGAACATCCATTTAACAGAATGTGGGTAAGCACCTCAACTTACCTCATCACAGGTGAGTGTGAGGGCCACTCTTACACCCAAGTGCATCTCAGAGCCCTCACCCTGTCTGAAGCCTCTCCCCCAACACCTACTCCAGCAGGCACGGGGAAGGAAGCAGTACACCGCCAGGGAAAGAAGGTAAAACCCATTTGAAAACCTGCTTTCATCAAAGGAACCGCAGTAAATAAAGCACAGGTCAGAAGGCAATGCATATGTACACTTGGAAAAGGGCGTGTGGGGGACCAGACCCTGTACCCCAGAACCTGCCACTGTGGCATAAGGCTTGTTCTAAATTGAAGGCAGCTAAGGAGGGACTCTCTGGTCCCCTCACCTGAAGGCAGGACATGCATTTTTCTGGTCTCCCCTCACCCCTCACCACAGATGAGAGCTGAGTGTGGCCACCGGGGATAGTTTAGGCCCCTGCCAGCCTAGAGATGTGCCCAGATCTGTGCTACATATTTTCCTGGCTTTGATCTGCCTTCCCGCCTTCCCAGTTTGCTTGCCCACATGACTTCTTTTTGTCTGTCTTGCCACTTCTTTGAAAATGTGTGTTCTGGATTGAAGATGGTTATAGACAGAGTTCTAAGCGGCCTCTGATAATCGGTCCCATCCTGAATGTCTCCCAGTAAGTATGGACGTCCCCATTAATAAGCTCCAGTTTGTGCCAGTCCGTGTCCCTCCTCCAGGTCCCTGCCCGGTGTGCAGGACAGAAGGAAACTTCACTCCCTTTCCTCGCTTGTGCTCTGGCCAGCTCACACAGTGTGTCTGTAGACGCATTCCCGAGGACTGAGCAGGTTCAGGGGCTCTGTAAGGAGAACCCGGGGGACCCTGGCAGGTAGAGCACCCTGGCTCGGCGGGGGCAGCCTCCTGGATCCAGCCCAGCCTGTGGGCTCCCCCCATGCCAGGCGTCCTGGCCTCCATCTCTCTGCTGCCTTCAGTTCTTCAGGACTTTGCTGTGGGCTTCAGCTCTGGCCACAGCTCGCTAGAGCTCTGCAGGAGAGAGGAGTAGGGGCTCTCTGCTGGCCGCTGAGATCCCGAGTAAGGATCCTTTGTGACCATGAAAAACGAGGGCTCAATCTGCAGAACCACAAGGGAGGAGAAAGCGTGCTTACAAGGTCTGCCTCCATATGGAGGAAGGGTACCCACGGGTGTGCTTTGTCCAAGGCAGCAGAGGACGGCAAAGAGAACCAAGCCGACACTCAAGTGGCAGGGAATTGTTTTTCTTTCCTTCCTTGCTTCTTTTTTCATGATACTTCCTTGCTTTTTTCATGGAGCTGAAGGTCTGGAGCATGCTAGGTAAGTGCTCTACCACTGAGCTATGTCCCTGGCCAGGGACTGGTTTTATTTACTTAATTATTTAGTCTTATTGAGACATGGTTGCCATGCAGTTCAGGTGACCTTGAACTCACTTTGTAGCACAGGCAGGCTTGATCTTGGATCCTTCTGCCTCAGCCTCCCTAGTGTGGGGATTATCGGCCTGCACCACCATGGCGGCAGGACAGGTTTTATGAGTAACTTGCAATAGAGAAGGTCCGGTGTGGAATGAACTGAACGCAGTTTTGATTTATGGGAGTTAGAAGTAAGCAGCTGTTTTATTTTAATTTTAATTTTTTATGAATTTAGGACACGGTCCACAGGTTGTACAGGGTCCCAATTGCTGGGATTACAGGCGTGCGCACCACGCCTAGTCTCAATTGCGGTCTCAGCACAACCCTGAGGCTGGGCCAGCACGGCAGGCCCCGGGATCGAACTACTGAGCTGCTGCTCTCTGCCAAAGCAGGCGCTTTAGTCCGCTGAGCTTTCTGGCTGGCCTATAAGCAGCTGTTTTAAAGGGCAGAGAGGGAATCGGGTGGAGGAAGAGTACAGGCTTTGGCTGACACAAACTCAATTCCGACAGCGTGGAGCTTTCCGAGGGACATCAGAGAGGCCTGAGCCTCCACAGCGCGGGGGGGGGGTGCGTGTGTGAGCGTGCTCCAGCTCACTATGTTCAGAGCCTGCAGTCTCTCCAGGCCCAGATCCAGGGTCAAAGAGAAGCGCCCAGACCTGCTGGAGCCCAGGCGGGGCGGAGTTCCTTGCTCCCTGCCTAAGTTTAATAACCAGGGTCCCTGGCCACACTTTTAGAAACATAGTATCACTCTTGACCTGTCAATCATAGAAACCCCAGATGAGCGACAGGAACACACATCCTGGCCCTGCACCTGGGACCAATGAGAAAGCGCTGTCTTAAATTCTTCGAGTGCAAAATAGCAAGTGGGTTTTTGATTGGATGGCCTGTATGATATCATCAAAAGATACCCCAAAAGATGGCTGCCACCTCTTTGCCCATGAGCTCTCTCAGGCACTCTCATCCTCAGGCTTGTCCTCTTCCTACCGTTAATAAATACAAAACCTCATCACCATAAGAAAAAACATAGGTGCCATAGAATTTATAGGTACCTAAATGCTTAACTGATAGGATGTCTGTGCTATCTCACAGCTGTTGGTTCCTTTTGTAACTGGTTCCTACATGGATTTCATTTTCTTTCTTTTTAATTTTTTTTTTATTTTTGGCGGAATAGGGGATTGAATTTAGACCCTTGTGCTTGCCAGGGAAGCGCTTATTCTGCAGAGTCATCTCCCTGGCCCCTGGATTTCATTTTCATATCCTGCATTTTGAAATCCAAATTTGTAATGTTTTAGGAAAAATATTAATTTTTTAAAGCTCCAAATATACAGTTTGTCATTGGAGACAAGATCTTACCATGTAGTTCAGGCTGGCCATAAACTCCCAGAAATCGTGACTCAGCCTCCTCGGGACTGGAATGACCGGGGTGAGCCAGCATGCCTGGCCACATTTACAATTTTGTGGAGAGCTGCGAAGGACCGCGCCTACAAGATGGCGCTGGTTTCCGCCTTCCACCCCCACCCCCCCGTGGGTGAGTGCTCTCTGTGCACAACAACTCCTTATATGGCCAGGGCTGCAGTCATGATTCGCTTCCGCATATGCTGGACCCATGGGCGATCCCCACGTGGCGCACTGGCATTGAACTAAAGAGCATATATTAGCCAAGGGCTGGGGGATTGGAAAGGAAGAAGCTTGTAATCAGGGGCCTGAATAAACCGCTGAAGGAAGAGCTGTGTGTTGCGTCTTCCTTGCTGGCGAGGTCGTGCGCAACACAATTTGATAACTTTCACTTTCTATATATGTGTCGTCTGCCACTCACACCTACATAGCCCTGTTCATTTACACCGTGAGCCTGCACAGGTCACTTTCAGCAGTCTGTTACTTAACTGGTAGCACCGGGGACATCAGTATTGGCCCCGGAGCTCAGTTCCATAATCTTCCAGCAAGGGAGAAGCTCAGGACAAGCTGTGGAGAACGTGGGTGAACTACTGTAGACCTAATGCTTAACTAAGGGTTGGGAAGAGGAGCTCATACTTAGAATAACCAGACTGGGACATTAAAACAACTGTGTGTGTGAGGAGGTCTGCCCCTTAGCTCAGTTCTTTAGGTGGCTGCTTCAACCAAGCAGTCAGGCTCAGGTTGCTGTGGTTCGATCCCCACAACTCAAGCCAGCCAAACCTGCCCTGAAGG